CCCATTCCCAGAGAGACCCATGCTGGCAGATAAACCATTTTGGCCCCAGAGGTTGATACAGGAAAAAAAAAAACACAAAAAAAACAACACAGGTTATTACGTTCAGCAGATTAAATACCCGTGGCTTCTGCCATCTGCTCCCAGAATTTCCTGTACCAGCTGGCCTCTCCCAGCACACCCTCAAGTTAAACAGCATGAAGGCAAGTAGGCAGCAGAGAAGGCTCTGAAGCCAAGCTTACTACTGTCTTGAGGCTTGGTTTATCAAAAATTGTGAGAAACTGCCACCTCCCTTCCCTGACAGCTGCTAGATGCCATCAGCAACCCAAATTAGCCTGCTGCCCTATTTGGTCAAGAGAGAAGCTGTCCAGACCATCCTTTAGCCCTATGATAGCAGGTCTGAAACTGAGCCAGACCAAGAAAGAGAAGCCAGGCTTTCGCGCCTTTCTTCTGAGAGCTGAAACTATTCCCTCAACCCACTGTCCCCTTCCTCACTTTGACTCTGCCTTTCTCCCTGCCGGCTCAGGGGCCCAATCAGACAGTGAACTCCCATCCTACCATCAAAATGATACGAGTCTGGACCGAGGATACACTTCTGACTCAGAAGTCTATGCTGACCATGGCAGACCTGGCAAGATCCACCGATCAGCCACAGATGTTGACGTGGTCAACAGTGGTTGGTTAGTGGTAAGTGATGGACAGCGAATGAGACTTCCCTCCTTGGCCTGTGGGAAAGATTCCTAGTCCTCTGAGAGGGCATCCTGGGGAAGATCTGGTTCAAGCCTGGGTTCCAAGCTCCTCTGTGTACTTTACAGGTGGGGAAGGATGACATCGATAACTCCAAGCCAGGGCTTGGGACTGCGTCCAGCCGGCCAGGCCCTTCACCCCTGGTCAATCAGTACAGTCTAACAGTGGGGTTGGACCTTGGACCTCATGACACTAAGTCTCTGCTTAAGTGTGTGGAATCACTGTCTTTCATCGTGCGTGACGCTGCTCACATCACTCCTGACAATTTTGAGCTCTGTGTCAAGACTCTCCGCATCTTTGTTGAAGCCAGTCTTAACGGTGGTGAGTCAACTGATGGGCAATTGGGGAATCGCCATGTGAATATACGGGGGATAGAGATATCTGTGTTAATGGATATGGAAATATGACCTGGATCTGACTGCTCAGGGTGCAAGTCCCAAGAGAAACGTGGCAAGAGTCACAAATATGACAGCAAAGGGAACCGCTTCAAGAAGAAATCCAAGGAGGGCTCAGTGCTTCGACGGCCTCGAACCTCTAGCCAACATGCTACTCGGGGAGGGCACAGTGATGACGATGAGGATGAAGGCGTGCCTGTCAGCTACCATACGGTGTCTTTACAGGTCAGTCAGGACGTAAGTATGGCACCCTTTACTTCCTCTTCTCTCCCTGCACCTGACTTTGGGAGTGTGGATGGGACCAGGGACAGCCAGGCTGAGAGGAAGAGCCGAGGTCCTCAGCCACCACCTCTAGTTTCCCACCTGTAAGTCTTTGTTTGCTTAATATTTAAACTAAGGTTTATTTTTTTAATAAGTAATACATGCACATGGTACAAAGTTCAAACGGTACAAAAGGGTAAACAGATAAAAGTAAGCCCCATTCCATTTCTGTCCCTAAGTTCTCACTAGCCAATAAGTTCTCACTAGAGGCAACTACTGCCACCAGTTTCTTGTCTCTCCTTCCAGAGTTATTCTGTCTATTCAAGGCATATAAAATTTATTTTATGAGCAGAATTTATATCACTAACTAACTGGATAACTAATTGCCTTTAAAGAATAGCCTTAGAAAAATGATGACAACAAATTATTAAATCTAGCCAGATACTATTACCCATCAAAGCCTCCGAGCCTGAGGTATGCTTTCTGTTTTTTAAATAACGTGATAAGGTTTTATATATTATCAGGTGTGAAAAAGAATTGGAAAGAAAGTGTATTTCTCACTGTGTAACTCAGTATTATTAAATACTTGGTCCCCCTTCCTCCTCAAGTCTCCTCTACTAGGACTAATACTCAACTTTGGGAAACACTTGCCAGGACGGGGCAACTAGCTCATAAAGTCAAGAAGGGAGCAGTGAGAGGGTTGAAGTATATGGTGTGACTGGTACTAGGGGCTCCCTTGAGGACTCAGTCAGGGACAGTAGGGGGTGGGGGACTGACCAGACATAACCCCACTCACGTTTTGCCCCTCCTGTGATCCCAGTTGCTAGACCTGATGCACACCCTGCACACTCGGGCGGCCTCTATCTACAGCTCATGGGCAGAGGAGCAGCGCCACCTGGAGACAAGTGGCCAGAAGATCGAAGCGGATTCACGCACCCTGTGGGCCCACTGCTGGTGCCCCTTACTGCAGGGTAAGCTTTGGGGGAGCAGGCTGGGCAGGGGTAGAGGTGGACCTGGAGCTGGGAAGTACCAGGATCAGGATGCCTGAAGGGTCCTGAGACTGTTCTTGCTCTCAGGCATTGCCTGCCTATGCTGTGATGCCCGGCGCCAGGTGCGGATGCAGGCACTGACCTATCTGCAACGAGCACTACTGGTACATGATCTGCAAAAGCTGGATGCCCTGGAATGGGAGTCCTGCTTTAACAAGGTAGGACTTCCCTCTAGTCTTTTTTTTTTTTTTTTTTAACGTTTTTACTGATTTTTGGAGAGAGGGGGAGGGAGAGGGATAGAAAGATAGAAACATTGATCAGCTGCCTCCTATACACACTCTCCTGGGGATCAAGCCCGTATCCTGGGCGTGTGCTGTAATTGGGAATCAAACAGGCAACCTCTTGGTCCCTGGACTGATGCTCAGCCGCTGAGCCACACCAGCCGGTCAGACTTCCCTAGTCTTAAGGTAAAGTTCAAATCTTTAAGATAAGGAGAACAAGGCAGCCTGAAGAGCCCCTGATGTCAATCCTCAGTCTGCATAGACCTTCCCCTTCCGCTCAATACTCATCCATCCCAGCCCATGGCTTCCTTGGGGCAAGGCTGCCCTCTGCCCTTGCTAGGAGATGTTGGCTGTTTACCTACCAGGTGCTGTTTCCTCTCCTGACCAAGCTCTTGGAGAACATCAGCCCTGCAGATGTGGGTGGGATGGAGGAGACCCGGATGAGGGCTTCCACCCTGCTCTCTAAGGTATTGTTCACCACCGTACTCTCCTGCCTCTTCACCCACTCTCCCGCCTCTTCACAAGGAGGGAAGCCAAGGCTTCTGATAGGACCTAGAGATGCAGTGTAGGTGCTTAGGACCCAAGCTATGGATACTCAGTGGGACTTGGGGACCTGGGACGTTTCTGGAATTCAGAAGCATTTTCTAATCTAAGATTCCCATGCAAGATAGGACAGGCTTGCCTCCCAGCCTTGGAGAAGGGTATAGACGGCCCCTACCCTACCCTCGGCTGAGAGTGGCTGGCGGGCCATAGGTCTTCCTGCAGCACCTGTCTCCACTGCTGTCACTCTCTACCTTTGCGGCCCTCTGGCTGACCATCTTGGACTTCATGGACAAGTACATGCATGCAGGATCCAGTGACTTATTGGTATGTTCCACCTCAGCCTGACTCCAGTCTGGCTCTACTGGGAAGACTTACTGTTTACCCTCTGGGTGGCTACCTCCTTACCATATTCTCCCATGCCCTCTTTTCTGTTCTCATGGTCCACTGCCACCTGTAGTCAGAGGCCATCCCTGAGTCTCTAAAGAACATGCTTCTGGTGATGGACACAGCGGAGATTTTCCACAGCGCAGATGCCCGAGGAGGCAGCCCCTCAGCCCTCTGGGAGATTACCTGGGAGCGCATTGACTGTTTTCTGCCCCACCTACGAGATGAGCTCTTCAAGCAGACTGTCATCCAGGGTAGGGGGCTCAGCCCAGCTTCATCATAAAGAGTCTGGAGCTCAGCAGTTCTCGGTGCTGTAGGTGGGTGGGAAGACTGGTGGGTAGTCATGGCTTGAAATTATAAGAGCTGCCATCTGGATTCTTCACCCTCCTCAGACCCCACGCCTATGGAGCCTCATGCCCAAAAACCTCTAGCTTCAGCCCACCTGACACCTACTGCTGGGGATACCAGGACAACTGGCCATCCACTTCTCCCAGAGACGCCCTCTGAATTGGGAGCCTGTGGTGAGTCCCTCTGGGCCAGCCTCCTGGGTGTTGAGCAGGAAAGAGGAGGCCTAAGAGGAGGCCCATGGTAGCTTGGGATTGCTGCTGAGCATGGGCTGTGAGCCAGGGGAAGGGGAGACCCTAAGAGTCCTCTTTGCCTGCTCCTCCTATCAGAAATGGCAGGACCAAGTAAGCTATAATGGAGCTAGCTGCTGGAGATTTTCAGGCTTAGGAAGAGAAAGCTTGGAGAATATGCAAAGGTTGCCCTTCAGGGATTCTAATAAAGACCAGACCAAAATTAACCTAACTAGAAGCATAGCAAAGGAAATAAGAGGACAGAGATAAAGGATCTGGGCATTGGAATGAGTTTCAGGGGGAGACTCCCAACTGTTTAGCCTGGGAGGGGTCATTTTGCTCACGGAAATTGGGAGGAGCAAAGATTGGTGTAAGAGAGTTTGACTGCAGCCACCTCTGACTTTGACTCTCACTATAGACTTTGAGAAGCCCGAGGGCCCCCGACCTGGCAACAGCAGCTCCCCTGGATCACCAGTGGCATCCAGCCCCAGCAGGCTGAGCCCCACCCCAGATGGGCCTCCACCCTTGGCTCAGTCCCCACTGATCCTGCAGCCCTTGGCTTCTCCGCTGCAGGTGGGCGTGCCACCCATGACTCTGCCCATCATCCTCAACCCTGCTCTCATTGAAGCCACCTCACCAGTGCCCCTCCTGGCCACACCCCGCCCCACAGACCCCATGACCACCTCTGAAGTTAACTAAACAGGCCCCTCGGAGATCAGGACCTGTCCCTGCCCCCCCTTCTAGCTGTCCCAGGGGCCACACTCTTCAGGCCCAGCTCAAGCTGCTATCGCTGCTACTTGTATGGGGACCTACAAAACAGAACTTGTATAGCCCTTCCTGGGACCCACAGTCAGGCTGCAGGACCTTCCTCCTCTGCTCTCCATTCTTGGGGGTCCAACCTGAGAGCACACTCAGGTATCACCTGCCGCCTGATAGCTCTGGGGAGGCATCACTGTGCCAGCCCTGCAGTGCCTGCCCTTGTGTCCCTCCTGCCCATGGTTAGGCATTGAGAGCCAAGCCAACCACTCTGCACTTTGTTTCCCTCTCCCATCCCCACTCCCATCAGCTCTGGGCCGCCACCTCCAGTTCTTGCTCTTTTACTAATTTGTTGGTCAGTTTGAAGAGCTGATTGGCATTAAGGGTGGATAGATGGGGCTGGACAGGGGGGATTGCCCACAGAAACATGTACATATGGAAAAACAGGACAACAGTGAACTTTTTATGATGTAATAAATGTCTTAGTACAATTAATGCTTTTCCCTCTGGTTTTCTTCTTGAACTTGTGGGCACCGTGTTCTTAGGATACCCAGGGAGTAGATCTTGCATGAACAGAAGTGACACTGAACCTTCCAACAGTCTGGTCCATGTGGCCCCAGGCCAAAAGCCAGCCAAATGCCAAGACTAAGGTCAGGATTCCTTTACCGCTGCCCGATGACCACCATCAGCACAGCAGTGCCCCTTTGCCAGCAGGGATGTGCCAGGGGTTTGGGCAGTTGTCCTCTTTCCTGACTGCTCCAAGGAAGACACCTGAGACTCAGATCAAGGGAAACCAGAGCTGAGATGTAGTTATTCAAGAAGTTTTCCTTCTTCATGTGCCTCATGGTCCAGGAGCAAAAGGAGCCTATGGACTTATGAGAGGGCCATCTTGCCCATAGCTGTGATCATGTGTATGTGGGCTCAGGGGCATTCATTTTGGCCCAAAATTGAGGAGGGACCATTTCTTCCACCCTACAGCCTCCATCCATCCCAATCCCTGAAGCATGATCGGAGAACCTGCCCTCTTTCCCTTTACATCAGGGTAAGAAGGTGGGAATGTGAATGAGGCAGGCTGTGTAGCTCCTGCAAAGCTTAGGTACTATGGACAGGATGCAGAATGCTATGTATTAAGCTTTCCCAAGTGAAGCATCTACATCATCTTGGTTTCCTCCTTCTTTATGGCCCCGTCCCCCAGTGGGGGAGGGAGTGGTACCCTATTGAACTACCAGCTGACATCCTCATAAAGAGTTAGGGACACTCACCCTCTTCATTTGGGCCCAGTTGGCTATGTGATCACTTAGCACCTTTGCTCAGCACAACCGTGTAGATGTTCCTGGGAGTCTGAACCTCTGTAAGTATCCCCCTCCGGTGTGGAAGAGGCTGCCTTGGAAGTGGGGTTAGCCTGATGTGAAAAAATACTGACGTGAGCCGAGACCGGTTTGGCTCAGTGGATAGAGCGTCAGCTTGGGGACTGAAGGGCCCCGGGTTCGATTCCGATCAAGGGCATGTACCTTGGTTGCAGGCACATCCCCAGTAGGGGGTGTGCAAGAGGCAGCTGATCGATGATTCTCTCTCATCGATGTTTCTGGCTCTCTATCTCTCTTCCTCTCTATATAAAATCAATAAAATATATTTTTTTAAAAAAATACTGACGTGAGACCTGAAACTCCTATACTAGTTTCTACCTCTTCCTTTCCTTCTTCCCCAAGTAGCCCAGACTATCCTTGGTTTCCCAACCCTGCCCACGGGGAAATTAGGAGTATGACTGCCCTTTTCTGAATGAGTGCAGAAAACAGGCTCTACAGTCAGGTTGACACTGGGCTCTTGGCTTGGTAACAGTTATGATGTCTCTGTCCTGCCATCTGAGTCCCACCCACAAGCTCTGCCTTCAGAAGCTTGCATGTGTTTCCGAGGGGAGGAGGGGGTCAAAAGTTATACATGAATTTTTTACTATGGGATGTCAGTACCCCTAATCCCGCATTGTCAACTGTACAGAATTAGTTCCAATGGACGCACACGCCCCCCAAAAATCCTAGAAACAACAGAAAATGTGGCTATCCCAGCACTTGGGTATTTAGCTTTGCTTAGGGCTCACTGCTTTGGGAGATGAGTGGGCTTGGGGAAGCAGAAGCCCTCAGTCTCTGGGCCTCTGTTGCAGAGAAGGAACTTTAGTTCAAGTAAACACCCCCTCTTTGAAATATTTTTCACTCGGCTTCTGAGACACTATTTTCTTGGTTCTCCCCTACCTCACTGGCCACACCTTTTTAATTTCCTTTTTGGCTCCTCCTTATCTCCAGCCTCTGAACATTACTAGTATAATAGAATGCCCCAGAGCCCCTCAAGTCCTTTCCCTATACTCAGTCACTGGATAATGTTCACTGTCAAGACTTTAAGTACCATCCATTACACTAATTATGTCCAACTACCCCTTTCATTTCCACTTGTATGCCTCATCAGCTCTCAAACATAACAAACGTAAAAGGAAAAATTCTTGATTACCCCCCCCTTTACAAATCTGCTCCTTCCCCGGTCTGCCCCATATCACTAAAGAACAGCTCCATTCTTCTAGGTTCTTATGCCAAACTAACCCCCTCTTTTCTACATCCAATTCCTCAGCCACCACTGGTCTACTGGTCAACTTCCTGTTTTCTAGTTCCAGGATCTCTATTCTCTCCACACTGAAACCAAAAGGATCCTTTTAAAACCCATTTTCATTCCATTGCTTAAAACTACCTATGGCTTTCCATCTCATTCAGAATAAAATAAAAAGTTCTTACTTTATCCCACCTACCTAATTTTCTTACTGTGCTTCAAATATGCCAAACACATTCATATCAGACCTGTACACTGCTAATCCCTGCACCTGGAATGTTTTTCCCCCAGATGTCCCTATAACTCAGTCCATTTTTTTCTAATCACTTTTCAAATGTTAGAGAAGCCCTCCCTGCCTGCCACATATAAAACTTTTATCATTCTTTGCCCCCATACCTACTTTTTCTCCATAGCACTTATCACCCACCAACTAACATTTCTCCATTTGATTTTTTTATATATTTTTATTGATTTTTTTACAGAGAGGAAGAGAGAGGGATAGAGTGTTAGAAACATCGATGAGAGAGAGACATCGATCAGCTGCCTCTTGCACACCCCCTACTGGGGATGTGCCCGCAACCAAGGTACATGCCCTTGACCGGAATCAAACCTGGGATCTTTCAGTCCGAAGACTGACGCTCTATCCACTGAGCCATATGGGTTTCGGCTCTCCATTTGATTTTTATCTTCAAACAAGGACATTGTTTTCTAAAGTATGTCCTCACTATTTATTGGTGAATGAAATAGAATGAGTTTATGGTGCCTCTGCTTTGGGCCAGGTGCTAGGGCTGCATACAAAAACAGAGAGAGCCCAACCAGCATGGCTCAGTGGTTGAACATTGACCTGAGAACCGGGAGGTCACAGTTTGATTCCGGGTCAGGGCACATGCCTGGTTTTTCGGGCTCCATTCCCAGTGTGGCACATGTAGGAGGCAGCCAATCAGTTATTCTCTCTCATCATTGATGTTTTTATCTATCCCTTCCTCTCTGAAATCAATGGAAATATATTTTTTTAAAGTCACTTTAGAAACAAAAACAAAAAATCATTAGGCTGAAAATTAACGGAATAGACAATGAAGAAGTTTCTCAAGCCCAGCTAGATGAGGCGATAGCAACTGACAATAAACCTTGAGTCAGTTAAAATTTCCAGGCCAACATTGTGAATTGCTGGAATTGATTAATGGGAACATAGGGGTTCATTATACTATTTTCTGCACTCTATGTTTTATATGAATTTGTGGAGAAAGAGCTTTATCCTACAGTTAACGGGCTGGCTTTGAATTCTTGCTCTGTCTTTTCTAGCTGTGTTACTTCACCTCTCTGAGACTTCATTTCTTCATCATTAAAGTAAAGTAATATTTAGCCAAAACTGGTTTGGCTCAGTGGTAGAGCGTCGGTCTGCGGACTGAAAGGTCCCAGGTTCGATTCCAGTCAGGGGCATGTATTGTACATTGGTTGCAGGCACATCCCCAGTAGGGGGTGTGCAAGAGGCAGCTGATTGATGTTTCTCTCTCATGATGTTTCTGGCTTTCTATCTCTCTCCCTTCCTCTCTGTAAAAAATCAATAAAATATATTTTTTTAAAAATAAAGTAAAGTAATATTTATCTCCTAGGGATGTTGGAAGAAAGAACAAGACTTATAGTAAAGAACCTTAATACAGTACCTGGCACATTCCACTTGTGGGCAAGGTGAAGAGGAAGGGGAAGTAACAGGAAAAAGCCAAACCAAGAGCTATAATAGTCTTCCGTTATGTAGAGCTAGTGCATTCCTGTAATTCCATTATTAAGAAGGTTAGGGGAAAGTTACATGACAGATCTGAAAAAACAACCTGTGTTCTACTGTGAGCCCAAGGTAGGATGACTCCGGGTATGGAGGTACTCATGGCATTCCTAAAGAGAGTGTACAGAGCAGAGATGTCCAGCCTCAGAGTTAGTACTTTGTGAACTTCTGCACTAACCTTGCTGCTTCTAGAAGTGTACAAGCGGACGTTGGGGACTATATAAAAGGCAGTTTCCTACATCGGAGGGAGTTTAAACTATTAAGATTGTGGATACCTTTTGAGTTCTAATACCCCGAGTCTCTGTGACGGATTAGCAAAGCCTTTCCAGGCGCAGCGGTCCTGAATTCAGTCCTGTCTGAAAGTCTGGCCCTCTGTAAACCTTCCATTTATAGAATACGTTTTAGGTCCAGAGTCTCTTCCATGGGGGGAGGAGTTAGAATCTGAGAGGATGATTACAGAGTCTCCTTGCAGTTCCAGAGAGGCCGCCAGAGGGCGTCCTAGGACCGACTGGAAGATCAACTTCCTTCCCCTTCCCCTGACTCTTCCCCGCAGGGGGGCCCTCTCGGGGCGGGGGACCAGAGGGCTGGGCCGTCAGCTTCCCCCTGGGGGTCTCCAGCCAAGCGTTAGGCACAGCAAAAGCCGGTACAGCGGGGACTACCACCTGTTTGAGGGAGGCCTGAGTGAGAGAGGAGACCAGGGTCGGGGCCCTTGGCCGGGGGATGGCGCTAGTTTCACGAATCCGGCCTCTGGCTGATACTCCTCTCCTCACCCCCCGCCCCGCCCGCGCTGGGGCCCCGCGCCTGGCTGACACCCCCCCCCCCCACTCCCCGCTCCCGCCCCTAAGGGGCACGCTAGAGTCGCTCCCGATTGGCTGTGGGCACCCGGAGTTAAACTTTCAGCCAATGGAAGAGGGCGGAGGGCGTGACGCACGAAAACGTCACGGGAATTCCCCCCTCCCGGGGGCGGAAAAGGGGCTTTCCCCGCTGAGCCCTGGGACTGGAGAGGTGTCGCGACCCGTCCGAGGTGGGTCGGGCCGGGAGAGAAGCCGGGACCGAAGCCGCCGCCGCGGTGAGTGGCCGGGTTCAGCCTGGGTGGCCGAGACACGGGAAGGCGGGAGGAGGGCCCGTAGCTGATGGAAAGCGGCATTTACACACACACACACACACACACACACACACACACACACACAGCACACACATGACCCAGACACCCGGATACACATCAGCATCCTCGTACAAAGACACGCGGACCCGTACCTATGCCGGCGAGTGCACAGCATCACCCATGCACTCAGCTTCGCACACACGTACACATGCAACCATACCCTTCACGCACACACTCTAACATATGTCCACCTGTGCCCTTACACATCAAGACAAGCTCAGGCATGTGTCCACCCTGCGAAGTTTAAGGTCGCTCACCTGTTGCCCGCACGCCAGCACAGGGGCTGGAATAGCTCGGTGTGCCTGTGATGGAGACACTGTCACACAGGGCCACGGCCCGGAGCAGGGCATGGGCACCATAACCAGTGCGGGGTGCGTAACCGCTGCCCAGATGTTTCGGGGGTAGGAGCCCATCCCAAAGAGGAGACACTTTTTCTCCCTCCCCCCCGCCCCCCACGACCCCAAGAGACCGGTTCTTGGGGCAGAACCCCGGAGCCCCCCACCGGGAAGAGCCCCCGCCTACAGGCTTCGGGGAGCAGGCCTTTCTGCAGTAGGAATGTCCCCCCAAAAGCCCCCGGGTGAATCAGCCGTGGCCTCCCTTTGGGTAGAAAAATCCCAAGGTTGCTCCAGCGTGGGGGAGGCGAAGGGGGCGGGAGGCGGGCCTCGTCCCTCGTCCAAGAGCCTTCCCAGGCCTTGGAAGACCCTGGAGTCCCCGGCACCTGCCCCGGAGAGAGGAGGGGAGCCCGGCCCACGGGGGCTTCCCTGGGCCTGGCTGCCCCTCTCCCGGCCGGGCTGCGGGCGCCCAGAGGCTGCTGCGGACCGCGCGCCCCTCCCGCGCGGGGGCGTGGCCGTGCGTCATTTCCAGTCCCGCCCCCTCCGGGCCCGCCTCCCCCTGGTATTTTCGGGACTTTCCTAAGCTGTTCTAACTTTCCTGCCCCTTCCCCGGCCCGGCCCAGCCCAGCTCCGGATCTCGCCCTCCGCCGGATCTCCCCCGCCGCACCCGGACGGGTGGCTGGAGGAGATCCGACCCTCCCCCGAACCGGGGGCCCCCTCTCCCCGCACCCCGGCCCCGATCCGTCTCTCACTGCCCCCGCCACTCCTCCTCACCCAGGGCGGGCGCCTGAAGCTCTGGGGAACAGAATCCGGCCGGAGCCGCCGGGCCGAACCGGGCCTAGCCCAGGGACATGGAGAGCTGCTACGACCCCGTGAGTCCCTCCGCCTGGCCCCGAGCGGCCGGCGGCCCCTTCTGTCTGCCAGCCGGCCCGTGTCCCTTCTGCTCCTGCTACCTAACGCCTCAGGGTGTTTCAGCCTGCCTTTAGTCTGCGTGCACACTGCTTCCTCCGGGAGCTCTTTCGTGGACCTGGGAAGGAGAGGGGGTGATCACTGAGGGTGTGGAGAGCTGGGAGGTGGAGGGCCCGGTGGGTGGCCCAGAACCAGCTGCCACCCCAGTCTGTCTCCAAACCAGAATCTGGATGGCATCATCGAATATGACGATTTCAAGTTCAACCCTTCCCTGATGGAGCCCAAGGAGCCTGCCCCAGAGACAGGTCAGTAAGTCTTCGAGCCTCTCCTAGCCTTAGCGGGCGCGGGAGGGACGGAGGAGCGTGCGCCTTCTGCCCTGGGGATGGGCTCGGAGATCCTGGATCAGCAAGGCCCCTCTGTCCCCAGCTGACGGCCCCTACCTGGTGATCGTGGAACAGCCCAAGCAGGTGAGTGAGTGGACGGGATAGGATGGGGTGGCCTCGGCTTTGGGGGCACATGGGGTAGTTGTAGCTGGGTGGTCATGGGGAGGAGGGTCACTGACCACAGTGGTTTTCGCTGCTGATCACCGTGGTATGGTTGTGATTCAGACAGACACCACCAGTCATTATGGTCACTGCTGGCAGGGCGAATGGCTGGCTCTGGGGGGGGGGGGGGGGGGAAATGGGGGTCCTCCCTGGTCACATGTCACTCTATCCTGGGACCTTCAGCGAGGCTTCCGATTTCGATATGGCTGTGAAGGCCCCTCCCACGGAGGGCTGCCAGGTGCCTCCAGCGAGAAGGGCCGGAAGACTTATCCCACTGTCAAGGTGAGCAAGGATGGTGCTCGAGGGTGGGCTCGTGGACAGCGTGTCCAGCGGCATCACTGACAGCCCTCCACCCTCACAGATCTGTAACTACGAGGGTCCCGCCAAGATCGAGGTGGACCTGGTGACACACAGCGACCCCCCTCGTGCCCACGCCCACAGCCTGGTGGGCAAGCAGTGCTCGGAACTGGGGGTCTGCGCTGTGTCTGTGGGGCCCAAGGACATGACTGCCCAGTAGGTGTCCCCTACCCCTGGCCCCTTCCTGGCATGCCCCCCCCTTACCTGCCAGTCCTAGGCCCCACCCAGCCCATCTCTAGGGAGAGACTTAGGTTGGCCCCAGAACCCAAGGCCACAAGTAAAAACCAGAAAAGCTTCCTAGAGGAAGTAAGGCTGGGCTGAGCCTGGCAGTGGGGAGGGCAGCTCAGGAGGAAAGAGCCACCCTCTTTCTGCAACACTTCTGACTCCCCTCTCCCCCCCCACTCAGATTCAACAACCTGGGTGTCCTGCACGTGACCAAGAAGAACATGATGGAGATCATGATTCAGAAACTTCAAAGGCAGAGACTCCGCTCCAGGCCCCAGGGCCTTACAGGTACAGTGGGGAGGGAGCCACGGGAGGGGGTTGTGAGAGGAGAAAGGGGAGCAGTGCCGAGGTCCTGGTGCTCCCTGTGCAGAGGCTGAGCGGCGGGAGCTGGAGCAGGAGGCCAAGGAGCTGAAGAAGGTGATGGACCTGAGCATCGTGCGGCTGCGCTTCTCCGCCTTCCTCCGAGCCAGCGACGGCTCCTTCTCGCTGCCCCTGAAGCCTGTCATCTCCCAGCCCATCCACGACAGCAGTGAGTACCCCCGAGCCTGGGGTGTGAGGCCTGGGGGTCAGAGAGAGCCCGAGAGGCACCCTCACGCTGCGGAGTCAGACAGGCCTGGGTTTGAACGTGGCCCTGCCACGTATGACTAAGAGATCTTGAGCAAGTCATTTCCCCTCTCTGAGTATGGCTCCTTCTGTCTCGGGTCAATGCAGTTACTGGTGGTTCCTCTTGGGGTTGTTCAGATAAGGAGACAAAGCACGTGGCTCCACCAACGGGGCCGTCACTCTTACAACATCTCAAGTAACTGGTATTCCACCCCCGCAGAGTCTCCCGGGGCCTCCAATCTGAAGATTTCTCGAATGGACAAGACGGCTGGCTCCGTGCGGGGCGGAGACGAGGTTTATTTGCTTTGTGACAAGGTGCAGAAAGGTGAGGCTGAGAACTAAGGATGCTGGGAGTCAAGATTGGGGGCGAGCCAAAACCGGTTTGGCTCAATGGAGAGAGCATCGGCCTGAGGACTGAAAGGTCCCAGGTTTGATTCCCGTCAAGGGCATGTACATTGGTTGCGGGCACATCTCCGGTAGGGGGTGTGCAGGAGTCAGCTGGTCGATGTTTCTCTCTCATTGATGTTTCTAGCTCTCTATCCCTCTCCCTTCCTCTCTGTAAAAAAATCAATAAAATATATTAAAAAAAAAAAAAAGTTGGGGGAAAATGGCCCTGAAGGTGCCAGTCGGAGCTGCGGCCAAGCTCTGGTCTTCCCTGCAGATGACATTGAGGTTCGGTTCTACGAAGACGATGAGAACGGATGGCAGGCCTTTGGGGACTTCTCTCCCACGGATGTCCATAAACAGGTACCCCGGGGACCCTCTGGCCAGGGGCGGGGGCCCATCGAGGCCAGGCCTCAAGGACACTCTGTCTTCCTGTTGCCCAGTACGCCATCGTGTTCCGGACGCCTCCCTACCACAAGATGAAGATCGAACGCCCCGTAACCGTGTTCCTGCAACTGAAACGCAAGCGCGGGGGCGATGTCTCCGACTCCAAACAGTTCACCTACTACCCTCTGGTGGAAGGTGGAGCGGGGCTGAGGATCCCAAGGGGCCGGTGGAGGGCTGGGACTGGGCTGGAAAGTCCCAAGAACTAGATCAGGGTGCCCATGAGTCAAGTTCGGAGGGGGGAAGGTCCCAGAAAGAGGTGGTCCTCGGAGGGCTCTGGGGGGAAGGGTCATCCGGAGCGGCCCGGAGCTGGGGTTCTAACACCTCCTTTCCCTCTGCAGACAAGGAGGAGGTGCAGCGGAAGCGGAGGAAAGCCTTGCCCACCTTCTCCCAGCCTTTTGGGGGTGGCTCCCACATGGGCGGAGGCTCTGGGGGCTCGGCAGGGGGTTACGGAGGAGCCGGAGGAGGTGAGTGAGGGGTGCTGGTGGCATGAAGGGGGAGGGAAGTTGTGTGGGAGGGAATCTGGGAGAGCCAGGCTGGTGCCGCCCCTCCACAGTCTGCTTGTCTTCACAGGCGGCAGCCTCAGCTTCTTCCCTTCCTCCTTGGCCTACAGCCCCTACCAGGCCGGGGCAGCCCCCATGGGCTGCTACCCGGGCGGCGGGGGCGGGGCGCAGATGGCTGATGGGGGTGCGCCTGGCGGGGATGCTAGGGAGGAAGCAGCAGCGCCCAGCGCGCCCCCCGAGGACCCCCACCGCAAACCGCAAGCTCAGGGGCTGCTGCAGCGAGGTATAGCCCCGGGATTCGGGCGGCCGGGGCGCCGGGGTGGGGGTGGGGGGTTGGACCTCGCCCGCGCCCACGGCCCTGTCGCCCTCAGCCCAGGAGTACAACGAGCGCCTGTTCGGCCTGGCGCAGCGCAGCGCCCGGGCCCTGCTGGACTACGGCGTCACCGCGGACGCGCGCGCGCTGCTGGCGGGACAGCGCCACCTGCTGACGGCGCAGGACGAGAACGGAGACACGTAGGTGGCGGTAGGGGGCGGGGGGAGGGCGGGGAGGACATGGCTCCAGGGTTCGGGTTCGGGATGGGTGTGCGGTGGAAGGTCGTGGGGTGCTCTGGAGTTGAACAGACCCGCTTTCAAGTCGGGCTCGCTATGTGCCAGTTCTGTTCAAGGGACTTCCTCTCTCTATACTTCAGATTTGTCAACGGTTAAAGGTATTTATCTACCAGGTCAGTGTTTCCCAAACTTCTCTCCTGATGAGAATCACCTGGTGGAGTTGTTAAAATACAGATTCCTGAATCCCAACTAATAGTATACAATTTTACCTATATGTTCCCAAAAATTCTAGTTTAGCACTTCTTAGTTGGGATTCAGGAATCTGTAGTTTAACAACAGGTGATTCTCATCAGGAGAGAAGTTTGGGAAACACCGACCTACCTCAAAAGGTGCTCGGGAAGGATTAGGTTCAGGTGCTGCATTGCCCTGAGAGAGGTCTGGGCCTAACAGGCCCCAGCGAGGCCGGCTGTGGAGGCCGTGGGGTGCTGAGGGTACGAGATGCTCCCGCTGCCCGGGCTTGCTGAACCAAAGTCTCCATCCCCGCCCCGCAGGCCGCTGCACCTGGCCATCATCCACGGGCAGACCAGTGTCATCGAGCAGATAGCCCACGTCCTCTACCACGCTCGCCACCTCGGGGTGGTCAACGTCACCAACAACCTGCACCAGGTGAGGGGCCCCTATGCGAGAGGCCGAGAGCTGGAAAGCGAGTGGGCCTAGGCCGGGGGCGGGCCTGGCTCACTCTGCCTGCGCCCCCAGACCCCCTTGCACCTGGCGGTGATCACCGGGCAGACCGGCGTGGTGAGCTTCCTGCTGCAGGTGGGCGCAGACCCCACGCTGCTTGACCGGCACGGAGACTCGGCGGTGCACCTGGCCCTGAGGGCGGGGGCCGGTGCCCCTGACCTGCTGGGGGCGCTGCTGCGGAGCGGGGCTCCCGCCGTGCCCCAGCTGTTGCGCATGCCAGACTTCGAGGGTGAGTTCCTCCCCTCGGCTGCACCAGGGGCCGGAGCGGGGACCGGGGAGGGTAACTGAGTGCCCAGTGGGGCGGTACGGTGTGGGGGCCGGCTTGTCGAGCCACAGCTGCAGGCTGAGGTCCCGTGCCCCTAGGGCTGTTCCCGGTCCACCTGGCCGTCCGGGCCCGGAGCCCCGAGTGCCTGGACCTGCTGGTGGACGGCGGGGCCGACGTGGAGGCTGCGGAGCGGCAGGGCGGCCGCACAGCGCTTCACCTGGCCACGGAGATGGAGGAGCTGGGCTTGGTCACCCATCTGGTCACCAAGGTAGGAATGAGGACCATGGAGGGACGAGGATGGTGAGGACACGACACGGCGAGAGGAAAAGCCAGCCCGCGGGGGCTGTCACCAACCACCCCTTTGCCCTCCACAGCTCCGTGCCAATGTGAACGCGCGCACCTTTGCGGGAAACACACCCCTGCACCTGGCGGCTGGACTGGGGTCCCCGACCCTCACCCGCCTCCTCCTGAAGGCTGGTCAGTCTCGCCCTCGGGGGCCCAGGAGGAGGACTGGGAGGAGAAAAAGGGGTGCCTCCCACGCTCCCCACGTGGCGATCCTGAGTGTGGGTTCCCATCCGAGGTGCTGACATCCATGCTGAGAACGAGGAGCCCCTGTGCCCGCTGCCTTCGCCTCCCACCTCTGGTAGCGACTCAGATTCTGAGGAGCCTGAGCGGGACACCCGGAGCAGCTTCCGCGGCCACACACCGATCGACCTCACTCGCAGCACCAAGGTGAGGCGGCCTGGGACACAGAGTCCCGGGGAATGGGGTGTCTGGGCTTGGGGGTGGGGTTCGATGTACGGAGTGGGGTGGGAGTAGTGAGGCTGAGGCTGTCTCTCCAGGTGAAGACCTTGCTGCTAAACGCTGCTCAGGACACCATGGCGCTGCCCCTGACCCCGCCCAGCCCTGCAGGTGAGCTCTCTCCACTCATTCCTCGCCCCAGCCCTGCTCACAGAGGTCTTTCTCTTTAGCTCTCTTTAGGGGCCGGCCCTGTCTGTCAGATTGCCATGGGAGAAAAGTGGTGTCTGAGCCCATCTCTGGAGGTAACTGACACATCTGTGTGTCTGTCCCCCTCAGGGCCAGAGCTGCCCCTGGAGGATACCGCCCTGCAGAACCTGGAGCATCTGCTGGACGGGCCCGGGGCTCAGGGCAGCTGGGCAGAGCTGGCAGAGCGGCTGGGGCTGCGCAGTCTGGTGGACACGTACCGAAAGACAGCCTCGCCCAGTGGCAGCCTCCTCCGCAGTTACAAGGTCCGTCGGGCCCTGTCCCCTGCTCCCTGCCTGCTTCCTGGGCCCTGGGGCTCCTGACCCCACATCTGAGCTATGACTGCCGTTCTCATACCTCCTCCTCCTCTCCAGCTGGCAGGTGGGGACTTGGCAGGCCTCCTGGAAGCTCTGTCTGACATGGGCCTAGACGAGGGAGTGAGGCTGCTGAGGGGCCCCGAGGCCCAAGACAAACTGCCCAGCACAGGTAAAAGGGTCACCCTGGGAGGTCATCTGGGCCTGGCGGGTGGGAGGCCTAAGGCCCTAACTCTCTTCTCCCCTCCCCATTCCCTCCCCCTCCCTCTGTCTGCTTCCCTGCAGAAGTGAAAGAGGACAGTGCCTACGGGAGCCAGTCGGTGGAACAGGAGGCCGAGAAGCTAGGCCCATCGCCGGAGCCACCAGGCGGGCTCTGCCACGGGCACCCGCCGCCTCAGGTGCACTGAACTGCTGCCCATTTGCTGCCCCCTTCCTGGCCCTCTGTACAGCATCCCCGCCTAGTCTAGTCCTTATTTAACACCCGTGCCCGCCCCTCAGTTGGGGGAAATAAAGGATTCTCATGGGAGAGGGAGGGGGCCTGGCCCCGTCCCGAAGTCAGAGCCGCTCTTGTGTGACATGTCGTACCCGGGCCCAGCGCCAGGCACTGAGAGGAAAGGAGGTCCAGTCGGCAAGTCCAGAGCAGTTTTAATGGGGCTGGAGGCCGTGTAAAGGGCAGGGCCCACGGGAGGAGGGAAAGCAAGGCCATGCTGTCCCCAGCTGGTGCACAGGGGCCTGGGCACAGACACCTTCCTCCGCCTCCGGAACGGGGGAAGGTGAGCCCTCAGGAAGAAGGAAAACCAGCTGGTGCCCAGCTCCCGGCCTCTGTCTGAGCCGGGCCCCGGGACAGGGGAGGGTTGCTGGTGTCGGGTGGGGGTGGTCTCAGCAGAAAGCAGAACCGTTGTCAGCCTCCCCTCCCCTAGCCCCCGCCCCAAAAAAAGCATCAGAAGTCCAGGGCCCTGGCCCCTCCCACCCCAGCCCCCAATACGAAAAAGTGCAAAACATTATCACAAAATGGGGGGAGGGGTGTCTCCGAGGGGCTCTGAGCCTAGGCTCCTGCGCTGCCCCGGACACCGCGTCCGGCGCGGTAGGGCCCTGGGCCGAAGGGCCCTCGGGTCACCGAGGCCGGCCCAGGCTCGGGCAGGGCCATGCCATGCAGTGCCCAGGGGGCACCCCCCACACACACACTCTCACCCCCGACTCAGGGCCTCCGACGCCCACTGCCCGCCCCTGCCCGAGGCTCCGAGCCACGACGCTGAGCCCGGGGCTGGCTGGAGACACGGGGCTGCAGGGAGGGACTGGAGCGAGGTGGGGGGGCTCCGTCCTCCGGGCTGCTGGCTTGGGCCAGGGCTGCCTCTACCACGTCCAGCTCTTCACTGCCCACCTTCAGCTTGACCCGAAGCAGGGCTGCATATGTGCCATAGCGGGATTTCTGAGGAGAAGGCAGGGGCCGTGAGCCAGCCCTCCGCCCTCCGCCCCTCCCACCCCGTCTCTGCCCGTCTGGACCATGGAGGGAAGCCAACGAAGGCTAGGAGAGGGCAGGTTCTTGCCCACGCTGGACCCCCAAGGAGGTGACATGATCCCCAGTAGGTTGGTGACCCTCTATGGGCTCTCAAGACGGCCAGTTGTCACCGCCATTGTTTCCTGAGCCTGTACCAGAGCTGACAGACATCTCACTCCCTGACCCTCGTGAGTACAGAACAGTCTCCCTGACCCACAGAAGAGGGAGCTAACGCTGAGAGGGATTAACAAGCAAGACTTTAGGAGTCCATGCCCTTGACCACTAGGCTGACCCTGTGCTGGGGACACAGAAGTCCCGCTAATGGGGACAGGTGGCACGTAGGTGCCCAAGGCCGGAAGGCTCACCTCAAACTCCAGGTAGGCCTCCTTCTGCCGCTGCTCCTCAGCCTCTTTGCCCCGGGCCTTCTTGCCCAGCAGGGCAGCCTGGTGCTCCTGCAACTCACTCGCCATGGCCTTCAGCTTGGCCTCATGGGTCCGCACTTGCTCCTCCTAGCGGCAGAGGGGACACGGTCAGGGTTCCTCTAGCACACACACGGCCTTGTGCACGTTTATGTAAAAGGTGCCCCTTTCTTAGGATGAGCAAACTACTGTCTGGGCGCACAGCATGGCAAGGAGAGTGGCAGCTGGGTTTCGGCCTCCATTTGCCCCCACCACCCCGTGACCATTGTCCTGGTGCACACTGGGCGTCTCCGTAATCAGAGCCAGCAGCCTTGAGACTGCAGCTGGCCTGAGCCTGCCCGACTCCCTCCCGCTGGCCGGGGGGACAGAGCTGGGAGTACCTGGGAGAGGCGGGTGGCCGCGCTGGGCAGAAGAGGGCGGCTGAACTTCTTCTGGGAACTCACAGCGGCTGGGAAGGGGGGTGCGGAGAACATGGCGGCCACCACATTGATGCGAGTGATCCAGGACTGCATCTGCTCCAGGCTCCTGAGGAGATAGCTGCTTGGGGCCTGGGCCCAGGACTCCTACCCAGGAGTGCGAGTCCTGGCTCAGGATGTGGCCCGAGAAGGAAGGAATCCAGGAGGGAGGGAGGGAGGGAGGGGAGCACGATGGGGGTGGAGAGCAGGGGTCCGGGAGGGGCAGGAGGAAGGTACTCACGGAGCCTGGAAGAGGAAGACCCGCCAGTCGGCCGTGCGCAGGTAGAAGACGTGGGGCCTCTTGCTGTAGTCCTTGGCGCGGGTGGCCAACGCGTGGTGGATGCTGATGGCATTCTTAAGCTCTGCCTCCGACAGGGCCTTCCCGGGCTGGTACTCCTCCTGCAGGGGGCCCGTCTCATCCTGGCCACAGGCCCGGCCCGGCCCAGCCCAGCCACCTCCCCACCCCGCGGGCTGGCCCCGAACCTTCTGCAGGTACAGGATCATGCCCTTGAGGATCCCATGGAAGCTCTTCCAGCCCCGTTTGCCCCGAGGTGCTGAGGGAGGGAGGGGGAAACGGGTCACGGGAGCACTGGGACAGGCCCACTCCCTCCCGTCCCCCAGACCCCGGCCCCAGGCCACGTACTCTTCCTGCAGTCGGGGTCCGCGTGCACCTTTCGCACCAGGGCCCCGTGCTTGTAGACCGCGGCCCCGGGCTCAGGAGTCAGGTCCAGGAAAGGGCTGGAGCCGCTGCCGCTGCCCCCGCTCACCCTCTTGATGACCTTGGGGTTGGGGTCGGCCAACTCAGACAGAGAGCGCCTCAACTCCTCCTCGTCTCTGCGGGTGTGACCGCCTCAGAGGGCTGGCTAGGAAGCCACAGCCCTCCCCCCCTTTCAGTCCTGGCCTCTGTTCACCCAGGAAAGCCCCTCCAGTGTTTGCAGACACGGGGGTGTGGCTCCCCTCAACCTGAGGCCCCGGAACCATGGTTCCCACCTCACACCAAGTCTCCCCAGAGGGTAGCTGTGTCTCCCACTCCGATCAGGGCGCCATGAGGCAGAATGGCTCCTCCGATCAGAGCCCCAAGGGTAAGGCCATGTCTGTCCCTTCCTCCCCTCGCATGTAGCCAACCCCATCCTCTCCATTTCTGCGTGTGCGCACGCGCACACACACACACACACACACCCCTTTTCTACCAGGACAGACATGTCTGACTCAGCTGTCTCAACCACACGCAACTCCAGCTCACAGCTTGTTGGCAAAATGGTGTCAGAAGTAGCTGCTCCCTAGTGGTCCCCTGCCTCACCCCTGTCTGCAGGCCGTCAGGTGTCCTCTGAAAAGTGATTCCGTCTGGTCACTCCAAGCTCAACCTGCAAGCTGCCTACTGCCTCCCCCGTGGAGCCTGTAATACATCCCTGCCAACACCCTCCTTCCGCACTCCCAGCAGGCCTGCCTCCTCCTCGTCTCCCCACCCCATACTCACAGTCAGACCTCACATGTTTGCCGCCCAAATACCAACTTCCCTTTTTCTCTTCCCAAATGTTCCCCCTATTTCAAATTTTTTTAAAATATATTTTTATTGATTTTCCACAGAGAGGTAGGGAGAGAGAGAGAAAGCTAGAAACGTCGATGAGAGAGAAACAGCGACCAGCTGCCTCCTGCACACCCCCCACCGGGGATGTGCCCGCAACCAGTGTACATGCCCTTGACCAGAATCCAACTTGGGACCCTCCAGTCCACAGACTGACGCTCTACCACTGAGCCAAACCGGGTTTCGGCCCTCTTTCAAATCTTGCTCCCCAAGTCCCAATCCTCCAAGAAGCTTTCCCTGTACCCCCGTCCTAAGCTCTGCCTCCTGAGGTTTTCGCTCTCACCTACTGGGAACTCCCACTAAACGGGGCAGTGACTGGACTCTTAGCAGATCCTAGAAAACATGAGTGAGGTGAGGGCTCTCCCCTCAGACTGGGGGGCCCAAGGCTAAAACTGGACCTTCTCCCTCAGATGGACTCTTCGAGAAGCTCCAAGATTTCTTCTGAGTCTCTGTCTCCACCGGGACTGTACCAGTAGCCACTGTGGTCCCTTGTCGGTGACACTCAGGGCTCCCTAGCACCCAAGAGGGGTGTCTCATGCTACCGGCCCAGGGCCCTTACCTCCAGCGACTTCTGTTTTCCCACTAGGATTGCCAAGGGACCTCCCCTTCTGCAGCCCTCCTCCTAGGCCAGCTGACAATGGCCACTTACCCCAACCCAGCTTGTCATAACAACCCAGCTAGAGACAAGACACAGAGCCCCGAGTCCAGGCAAGCATCTCCAAAGAAGGAAGCGAGGCCACTTCACTGCCTCTCATGGCCTCACCCACCTCCCCTGCCCCACGGCCCCAAGACTCCCAGGGCCTGCCTCCGCTCTCTCCACCTCTCCAGGCAGACCCTTCCCCACACCCGCATCTCCACCCCCACCACACAGCCCCAGGACTCACATGGCCCACTGCAATTTCTCATTCTTGATGGAGCTGTACAGAGCCTGGGGAGGGAAGAACAAAGCAGGGCGGTGTGGGTCAATCCTGGAGGAAGGAAGGTGCGTCACGTACCCCAATGCCAGAGCTCAGAGCCCTCCCTCCCATAAGCGGGAGAAGGCAGGACTGAGGCGGGGCAGTAGGGAGGAACGACCAGGAACGCAGGCTCTGGAACAGAGCACTGGGACCCGGGCCCAACGTGGCCGCTTTCGCTGGGTTGCTCTAAGCGAGTCTCCCTGGGGAAGGGCACGGTGGGTGCCACGTGTTTACTAAAGGGAAAGCCATCGGCACAGGGCATCCTCACGTGTGACTGATGCACAATTAATGGCAACGGCTAATATTATCTTTGTTGTTGTTTTGCTAAGAGGTCATCCTGCTCGGATCCTCGGTGTGAGAAACACAGCTCTGGAGGAAATGGAAAACAGTAATTCAAGAAGCTCTCCTTTTCCCAGACGGCCATGCTCTGGGCCCGTTTTACAGCCTGAGACCACACAGAGCATACGGGGAAACTGAGTCCCCAGAATGGGAACTCACGGTCACATCCTTCCGTGGCTGAGAACATACCCTGATGGCTCCCAAGCCCAGGACAAGCTGAAACCATCCCCAACCCAGGCTGCCCCACCAAGCCGCATGCCAGAGTGGTCCCCAGCCGACTCCCACACTTCCTGTCCCCAGGGAGTGACCATTGGTTTAAAAGGCAGCACGCCCCCACCTCCCTGTGGATTTCCCAACCAGTCGCTTTCCTTCAGCACAGCTGCCCTGGGGGACCTGCGGGGACTTCGTGGTGGTGGAAGGAGAGAATGGGCTGGAGGAGTAGCATAGGGGACCCCTCTTCTCAGGAGAGGCCTGCAACACAGGTGCTTCCCACAGCCTGTCTGTGAATAGGTGTGTCCCCAGCATGCGTGTGTCAGGCGGAGTGTGAGTGTGATGCTGTTTGTGTGTGAGCTGGGTGCAGCGGGGACACAGGCTACCCCCAACACACCAAGACCTCTGCCTCTCACTGCCCACGGCCACGCAAAACAGTCCCTATGAGCACACCCT